ATAGAAATCAGAACGCTGCTCCAAATTCGTGATAAGGGTCACTAATCATTTTCGAGGATGTTTAAGATTTACCTCGAGGATGTTTCTCGCTGCGCCCAGCTCACCCATATTGTAACCCCTCACAGAATAAGGCCCTCCAAGGGTAAAGGCATCGTAGCTTGGAAGGTCCCCTACACAGCCACCATAATGACCATGGAGGACAAGCACAGGAGGAGGTGATTTACCTGCACCTTCCTCCACCTGCTTCAGCTGCAAAAACCGTGTCAAGGTAAGCTGGTGGCGGTTGAAGAACGGAAATTTGCTGCCCACCCCGAGGCCTTGGTCGACCTGTAATACACACATGTGATAGTCAATAATCAACCAGAACTTTCAGAAGTCAAAATATTTTCTCAGCCAGCATAGTTTGATTCAAAAAACCCCAGCAGTGAGCACCCAACAGAACATAGTTCTAAACTTGTCGAGTAAATCCCTCAAAATTGAACATATTAATCTATAAAATGGTGTCTTAATTGCTTCTAAATCTGTGTTCTTGTATGAAAAAGTGACAAAAAGATGCTTCAATGAAACAATGAAAGGGTACTAACAGGTCGAGATGCAAATATTAAGACAGATTCGCACCTGAAATACGTTCCTCTCGCCAACGATAGCACCATTAATGAATTTTGTATTATCCCGTGTTATATTTGCTTGTAAGAATGCCATTCGATCGATACCAGTTCCACTCAGGGTTGTGGGAGGTCCATCAGCACTAATACCTCCACCAAGCAATGCCCTCTGACCATTCGAACAGATATTACTACTTTCATCCCGTGTCGTTATCTCTTCCATTACAAGCCCATAAGTGAATTTGCTTTGGCGGGTGAGATTCTATTCAACAAATGTCAGCAATATAAGAAACATTGTTTCCAGAACATGCTACAGAAGGAGTAAATCTAGAAAACACTAAACCGTCACTGATAAACACCTCAGTAACATTAGCTTTAACACCAGCTCGGTCGACCCATATAGGTGGAACTTCATCTGCCCCAGGTCCACCAGTGAAAACAGGACTCAGTTTTCGGCTATTGAAGCAACTAACTCGAAGAGTTCGATTGCGTGGGTTATAGACACCATCCCAATATGGATGCACATACTCGAGCTTAAATGAAAGGTCATCCTGAACAAAGAAAAACGTGGAGATTTCATCATTTAATAGCCTTTAAGCAGTGAAAAAGAAGAACTTAAAAATAATATTAATTCGACTACCTGAGGATTGAAAAAATTACTCGTTGTTATAGTACCAAGAATCGATCGATTTAATCCATTGATATTTCGATGTTCGAAAGTAACTGTTCCACCAGGCTGCAGTGAAGCCTAAAAGCACAAAGCCCACAAAAAAAACATGTTCAATCATAATTCAATGGTGGTGAAAGTAGGCATAAGCATAACAAAGCGAAGATAAATACACAAAAAACTTAAGACACAACATACCAAAGTTGGACGTCCACCACGTCCAGGAACAATGCTCCATTCCGAACTGACTTCAGCAGATTTTTGGTCAAGTTCTTTCAGTTTAATTTCAACTATAATCCCTCCTTCACTCTTCTCATCAGGTCGGGGATTCACTTCAATATTTGAAAACAAACCAAGGGAGTTGATGTTCCTCAGAGCTTGCTTTCCAGCTTCGATATTAAAAATTTCGCCTGCTTGTAGCTGTGACATAATTCAAAATCTTGAGCACATAAGAACTGCTACTCACCGTACAAAGCTGATATAATGACATTTGTGGCCATAGTACGAAATTTGATTTTGAAACACCGAGAAGTCGATAGTTGCTTCTCTCGGTAAGATAAACACCAAATATACAGTCGTGGTTATATAATAAATGTAGTTTGGAGCATTGTCGTGTCTATTTAATCTCTAAACTTAGAAAACATCGATTACATTTCCAAATTTTGGATCGTGACTCTATGTTGTCCCTCCCTTTAACACTACGATGTGACATGCTTATTGGATAAATATCGACTTAAAGTGAACAGCCTAAAATGGATTTGATACATATGCCACTATGTTATGTCAAACAATTAACCTTCGTCTATTAGCATGTACGAGAACAGTGCGTATCATCGTAGTTAAGATCAAAAACATAAATGGAACTTCGTGAAGTTTAAGAATTAAGAACTAAACAGGCACAATCAACAAATTTCGGCATCAAATTTGTAAGTTAACCTTCAAAGGATTCTACCTGTTTGGGCAATTCCCTCTTCACTACAGGGAGTTGAGTATTTCCCTCAACAACATTACCAAGCTTATCCAAGAACTGAATCACCAGCTGAGTAATATCCCCTTCCACCACCTCACAAACAACCTCCTTGGTATTCAAGTTTCCAAAATTTACTACCTGTGCGCAAGCATACCCTTCATCATGGTACCATTTCTGCACCCTATCCCGAATCCTCTGTAAAAGCCTCGCACTGACCTTCCCCCTAGTCCTTATCATCTGAAGAACCTCTCTATACACTGGCGTTGGCAACAAACACGCCCTCGCCTTCGAAATTCTCCTCTTGTATTCCCTCTCTTGGCTCCTAAAATACGCAAGCTTCTCCTTATCCGTCATATCAGGGTCCATTTCCATCTGCTTCGTCTGTTGCATCAAACCAACATTGATACATCTGAACCTATCAGCTGACTGCCAAGTACTTTCAGAGAACGAGATTGTGACACCAAGAGTACCATCAGGTTTAGTTTTCCCTTCCACATCGACCTTCTCAAACATCCCACAAGTCGCAAGGGTTTCGAGCTCTTTCTGAAGCTGAGCCTTGGTGTATATCCCGCCAGGTCTCAATGAAACCATCTCAAAGAACGAGTCTTCAGTGCCAACGGTGATTCCCTTCCGGCGATCAAAGAAAGAAATATCAGAAACCTTATATTTCTTAAACCCACTAAGCTTATTAAGCTGCACAACAAGATTGGCAGGCAAACCATGAGCATCCCACTCCTGATTCTGAGGCTCATCCGCCAATGCAGCAGGGGATAAGAATCTCCTCCAAAACCCATCACTCCCACCACCGCCTCCACCGCCTCCACCACTCCCACCACCAAATCCGCTGCCCCCACCAAAGTTTCCACCCCCATTTCCAAGCAACGAAGAGAAATTAAAAACAAGGGTAACAGAGGAGGATAGAGCAAGGGCTTTAGCGATGGATTTCAGGTGGGGTTTGCAGGAAGTCGAGGATTGAATGGGTTGTGGGGTTTGGGAAGATGAAGAAGAAGATAAATGACATTTGAAGGTGGGAAGATGGGGGTTGTTAGAGGCAGCGATTGAAGGCGGAATCCGGCGGCTACGGTGGGAAGCCGGCGAGTTGGGGAAATTTGTGGAAGTGGGGAGATGGGTATGCGCCGCGAGAGCTGGCATTTTGGGTTTGCAGGGCAAGGAGAAAGGGATAAGGAAAAGGGAAGAAATGGGGGGTTTTGCTCTCCGCTGAATTCCTTACTTCGCTTGCTTCTCTTCTCTATATCTCGAGGTTTTTCGAAAAGCGCGAGTCTTTTTTTTCCTGAGGGCGAGTTTTACAATGTCCCTTGTTTTTCTTATTTAAAGAAACTTTACAAAAAAAAAAAAAAAAAAAAAAAAAAAAAAAAAAAAAAAAAAAAAAAAAAAAAA